CTAAATGACTTTTTTTTGCACAAGCCCACCACGGTGAAAATATGAGAAAAAAACTCTGCTTGATTCGTATAGAAAGATGATGCTTAAAATTTCGATTACTCAGGATTACTTTAATCTACATCACTTGAGCCACTGTCGGTCTCAAACTGAACAAATTTGAAAAAAAAACAAAGATTTGCACTGGTTGTCTGCAGTTTGGACAATTTGGTTCGCATTGTTGATATTTTATCCTCTCATGACAAGAAATGAAGACACCATGTTCAAAAAATTCATCCTCGTGCATTAGTTTAGTGTTTTTAATTTGTGTGTTCACAAAACATATTGAACAAACTTTTTGACAAAAATTTGTTTTGTGATACTAACTGACTAATGGAAAAAGTCTGAGAAAGCGTGGGACATATGGCATATGGCTCAGTTTTGGTAGAACATCAATTTTTTGGTGGTTGGTGGAACACATCAATTACAAAGGGTGATGGTTGGGTGACAATCGGTAAAGTGAGTCAATTGAACATTTTTTTTTTCTTGGAATGAGAAAAAAGCAAGAAACGGCCCTAATTCAAAGAAATTATTTTTTTCCTGGAACAGTGATTATAGCCAATTCAATAGAATTAATTTTACTTGTTTCTTTCCAAAGAGAAAGTGTTGTAAATTTGGTAGCCGAAAAAACAGGTTACGTAGGATAGCGAGATCAAGCGACTCGAAGTTGTCTATGTCTTTTTGCAAATGGGTTAAACAGGTAATCGATAAAATTTCGGATATGGCGAGTTGTGGAATATTTCAACTGTTCCGTTTTCCCACTTATTAGAACATTCGTAATATAGAAAAAGTTTTAGGCAGAACGACCTGCTTAAAAATTTGGGTTTCCCGTTTAAACTTCACGCACAGAATAGAATTCCGTCGCAATCACTTTCGGTTACTGCTGATTGTTTATGCTTCATGGTGTGAAAAAAATCTTCGTACCTAGATTTTGAGATAAACTTGTGAATTTGATTATGATGGTAATTGTTCATATCAAGGTGTAAATTGTTGTCTTCTTCCTAAGATGATGAACTCGCTGACGCTACCCGGGAATAAAACTTTATTGTAAATGACAGAAAGAGATTACTAGAATGAGAAGTTGGTTTAGTGATCAAAGAATATTTGTTTTCCAGAAATTTTCTTTTTTTAATGTATCGATTCGATTGTATTTTCTTTTCTCTCAAAAAATTATACACGCAAGTGAATTACTTCGAAATCTGTACTCATTACTTCCGATTAAGCAAAGAACAAACACAATTATATTTTTTGTTCGAAAAATCCATTTCAATTTCCAATTTTTTGATTTGTCGTTATTATTGATGTTACCATGTAAACAAAACATCGAATCCGTTTTACTGAACCATCAACCACGAATTACCTGCAACCACAGAATTACCTTTACAGTGATTAGTTAAAATGGCAGATGTTCAGATAATTTTTAGTAAAATCTTTTCCAATTTTACTAATGATATGCATGTTTTTGTGACGTAAAATGAAGCAAGTTAAATTTAATAAAGTTATTTGATAGTCGAGGAAGTCGACATGTATGTCGACCATGATCGAATCATACTCCCTTTTGGTCGAGAAAGTCGAAACAATTCTATGCCGCATCGAACAAACAAAGTTTACGAAAGTGTTGGACGCAACTTTCTAGAAAGTCCAAACATAACAAATTTCGGTTAAGAAGTTTGAAAACCATTTAACTGGATCGAATTAAGTCGAAAATTTTTTGTTGGATTGAGGAAGTCAAAACATACCCATTTTTGTCCCAAAACTAGAAACATATCGAAATTTAGTCGGAAAAAAAACGAATAAAAAGTTTAAAAGAAGTAATTTTAAACGAATTTAGGTTTAAAAAAAGTTAAATAAGGCATTTATTAAACCATATTTCAAAAAGGTTTTTCTGCGATCCCCTTTGTAGGTATAAAGGTCTAGGAATCAACAGTGGGGGTAATTAGTGATCCTTTAGCATCAATCTAAATGAATTTTTTCTTTTCTTTCGCACAATCCCAGCACGGTGAAAACATTTTGGTCTGCGTTGTTTATGTGTTATCCTCTCATGACAACAACTAAAGCCACCATGTTGAAATCGTGCATTGAGGTTGTTCTTTTACTTTGTGTGTCCACAAGATATAATGGACATTTTTTTATCACAATACAAAAGCTTTTGCGATACTAACATATGGCCTTTGGGTCAGTTTTTGGTGGCTGGTAGAACACATCAATTACAGAGGGTAATGATTGGGTAAAAATTGGTAAAGTGAATCAAATTAACAGTCCTTTTTCCTTGAATGGAGTGTTTCCTTTGTTCTTTGCTGGCTCATGACTAAATTAATACAAGGTTTAAAAAGAATGGGAAACGTTGAAAGTTGTGGTTTGCCTTATAAGGCAGAGAATTTGCCATACTGAGAAAATTGGAGCTGGCTCTACTCGTGGCAGTCAACACAAATTAAGTGCGGTGGCTGATTGTTTTCATGATTGTGTTGTTTTTGAATCTTGTATTTTTTTCAGCATAACAGATGAGAAATTGTAATATAGTAATGAGATGCTGAGAAGTTTTCCGGAAAAATTGATCTGAAAAATTTGAAAAAAGGAGAGATGAAAAAACATCAAATAATTTTTCTATCATTTTATTAATAAATTGAAGCTTTTTACAAAATAAGCAAATTTGGGAAGTTAGATTAAATGAGATTGTATCATTCTCGTAAATATATGCATTAACATTTTATCAATAGTGTGATCTTTTCTTGTTCACGATGATGGTAACGTTTTCAAAACCATTGACTTTTCCATTAGACAACTTCAAGTTGCTCTTATCAAGATAAAAGTAAAAGTTTGTCAACGATGCTACAACATCACCCACTTGATTCAGTGTGATGTGTTCTAGGAACTTAATAGTAAAAAAAAACATTCTGGTCTAATCAGGAAAAAAATCTGTTTTTTCTTTAAAATATTGGTGTGGTACTTGATAACCACGATTTGCTTCGTTCAAGGGGTTTATTCATGAATTTTTTCTGATTCTGATTTTATGACAAAAACATCCTGTAGACTTATTGGACTCAAAAAAAATTAAAATCAAAACAGTTTTTGACTTGAGAATCATGTAGCAATTTTTTATTAAAGGAATTTGTCGTTTACTGTTAATGGAATTTTATGCTCAAAAATTATCAGACTGATTAGTGGGAAAATAGATAGGACAGATATTTTTGCTTTCACTGACGCAATTACTGCAAACATTTCGTTTATTTCGTTTATTTCGTTATATCAATTTCGTTTATTTCTGGCTAATATCATTTGATTGCAGATATTACGGACATCATACTCTGTCATTTTAGTTACATGATTAATCCGGCTGCATATGGGGCAATGAAATTTGCAAGTTTTGTACTAGTTCTTAACTAGAGTTTGTAATGACTTTTTCATTTTCACTATTTGCAGGACAGGAAACTGTGTGGTCAGATAAATAAAGAAAATTGACCAATATCAGGCAGTTGAAAAATACTGATTCTCCCAAAGTTCCCGTTTCGATGTATCGAACATTAACTATCATGTAAACTTTAAAATATGGTTGTAATTTACCGTGAGTTTGATATGTGAATAACAAAAACTAGTTGGTCGTTGATGTTAAACATCATTTTTTCTATTTAGAAAAATAGAGAAAATCAGGAGGGTTTAAAATTTTTCAAAAGCGCAAAACTGACCTATTTCAAGGTATTTAGAATGATTTCCTGGAACAGTGATTATAGCCGACATAATAGAATTAACCTTTCTTGTTTCTACTCCAAAGAGAAAGTAATGTATGTTTGGTAGCCGAATAAACAGGTTACGGTAGGATAGTGAGCTCAAGAGACTTGAAATCGTCCATGTTTTTTCGCAAATGGGTTAAACAAGAATTCGACAAAAGTAGAAAAAAATTCAAATATGGCGATTTGTGGAAGAATTTTTCAATTTTTCCGTCTTACTACTTATTTTAATATTCAAAATATAGAATAAATTTTGGGCAGATTTTAAGTTTTGACCTTTACATTGATCAGCTAAAGTGGACAGATGTTCAGAGGACTTCTAGTAGTATTTTTCGCAAGTACGCTATTGATATCCATGTTTGTGTGACCTAAATTGATCAGGGTCGAGTTTCGACTTTGGAAGTTGAGCAAGTGCACTTTATCTCAAGCAAGTGCAATTTAATCAAGTTATTTGATAGTCAAGAAAGTCAAATCATAGGTTGAGAGCTCAATCAAAACATATTCATTTTTGGTCGAGAAGGTCTAAACATATCTATGCTGGGTCGAACAAACATAATTTATAAAAATGTTGGTCGACTTTCTAGAAAGTCCAAACATAAGAAATTTCGGTCAAGAAAATTGAAACAAACTTGAACTGGTTCGAACAAGATTGAAATTTTTTTTGTTGGGTCGAGAAAGTCAAAACATACCAAATTTGGTCGCGAAAATAGAAACATATCGATATTTAGTCCAAAAAAAACGAAAAACATATCTAACACCTTGGCTCGTGTTAATATCTGCTTGTTGTTTCTTTTGTGGCCGTTTAAATGGAGGCAGAACAATTAGCAGAATTGTCTGAGAGCAGAAAAACAAAAAAATGTTCCACGAATGAAAGGACCAACAAAGGATTGTACAACTCATCATATCGAATTCAGTCCAATCTGCTCATTTACCCGTCAGCTTTTACTATGCTCTCATAACTTTTCAGTTTTTCATGAATATAGTTTGCTTACTTGTTACTTGCTAAAAAACGCAGCCGGTTTTTTTGGTTTTTTCGAGTGTCCATATACATTTAAACTCGGGTAAAATAAAAAAACTAAGTTTATCGTGTCAAAAATGGGAACCAATCGGTCCTTTGAAAACAAAATCATAGAAAATATGAATATCGAAATATATTATTTCTAACTTTAAAGTAAATCTCTGCATTATGAGCAACATTTTTAAAACTTAACAATAAGTACGGTACGGTACAACAAAATTTAAAGGCTTCCATCTTTTTTCTACACTTTTTCTGTATCAAACTTTGGTTTTCGTTCCGTTTTTGATATTTTTTGTCCATTCTCTTTGAATTTTCTACGTTATTTTTCTCCATTTTCGCTGTTTTTGGTTTTCTGTAATGGTCAAATCTCCATGACCTTGTCAAGCATTTTAGACAGCTCGTTGTACTCGATCAAGTTGTCATTATTGGTGTCGAATTTCTTGAAGTCTACGCAGCAATGGCGTTGAACTTGGCCTTCAAGTGTTTGGGGACCCGGGCCAAGAACCGGTCGAACTCTTCCGGGCTCAGCCCCTCCTTCTTGTCCATCATTTCAATATCGGCTGCCAGTTTTTCCAGCAGGGATCTAAAATTCATTATTAATAAATACAAACAAATTTTTTTTTTTAAAAAAAACTTTTTTCATGTAATATTGAATTGCTGTATCGTATAATTCGGTGCGATGGAAATCAAAATAGGGGAAACTATTAGTTTTTTGAATTTTCCAATAGCACTGATATATGAAAATAAGATTTTGTTTGCCTTGATTAAACGTTGGTTCATGATGTTTAAAGGTTTTGCATATTTCATGATAAAAAGATAGAAAATACGGCACACCAACGAAGTTAATAAGAATATTTTGAAATTATTTAAAAGTTTAAACTTACCTATCCATAGCCTGCATTTTTTCGTTCAACTGGTCGAAAAACATATCTTTTAACTTCTGGAAACCGTTTCTGATTGTCGCCAATTTTTCATTCTCCCCAGATAATTTCTGGTAAATTTTCTTGAATTTTTCCAACTGTTGGTTCAACTCTGCAATTTTTGATTCCGGAGCATCATTATTAGCCTGCAGTTTAGCAGAAGTTTCTCCCAAAACCTTATTTTGCTCGGCAAATTTCTCATTTTCTTTTGCGAACTTTTCAACTTCCGCTTGGGGTTGCTTGATTTTCGCCTCCAAATCTGCGTTATTTTGGGCAAATTTTCCATTTTCTTGAAATTTTTCACGTTTCTCCTTTCAATTGCCCGATTTAAGCAGTTATTTGTTTGTTGTTTTCTGCCATTTTGTCATTTTCGCCAGCCAATCGATCTACTTCGGATGAAAATTTCGCGATTTTAGCTTCTAGTTCTTTGTTGTTCGCAGCCATTTTTTCGTTTTCTGCAGTCATTGTTTCAACTTGCGCACCCAATTTGTTGTTTTTTTCTTCGAATTTTTTGTTTTCTGCACCCATTTTGTTAACTTCGCCTTCTAATTTTCCGACTTGCTCCTCCAATTTTTTTTTGGTTTGTTCCAGTTTCGCATTTTCAGCTGACGTTTTTCCGACTTCAGCTGTGAGTTTGGCGTTGTTTTCTGCAAATTTGTTGTTTTCTTCTGTCATTTTGTTCACTTGACCTTCAAATTTGTTCACGTTGTCTTCCAGAGCCTGAAAATTTTTGCAAAAAGTTTTGATCGGACAGAAATTTTTTTTTACCCGTTGTTATTGATTTGCAATTATAGACACACTTTTAGCGATTCAATAGCGTTGAAAAACTACTTTAGCTCTCAAAAAGCTAGTACTTTAAAATGAGCTCATTCTAAAAAGTTCAGTTTAAGTTAAGCCTAATTTAAGTTTTTTAACCCATTCAATCTTAAAATCCGTGTTGGCCTTGAAAACTTTGGGTTAATTTGGTGTGCAGGCGTTGATGAATTGTGACCACAACTGAAATCCTTGTTTACCTTGTTTGTCTGAGCCAACTTTTCGTTTTCCTGGCTGAATTTATCGACCTGGAGAAACAAAAAAAGTAACCTTTAAAATATTAAATATAGAACCTTTAAATATTCAGAAAAATATAGTAACCTTCAAAATATTTTAATGAAAAAAGTAGTATACTAAAAATCAATTTGATTAAATTCTCACGCTCACTTTTTCTTTTTTTATACTTATTTTTTGGCATTTTACATTTTTTCACGAATTTTTTTTTGTATATAAATATATTTTTCTATAAATTCACTTTTAAGTGATAAAAAAAAACTTCAAAGTTTTTATTGAGATTTTTTTAGAAGACTAGCTTCGTTTTTAAAACCAGTGTTGCCTTCTTGAAGTTTTAAAAAATAAAAAAATCATAATGATGACAATTACGTATTTTCAAACAAAAATAGTTTCAAACCGAATAACAAAAGTTCGAATACTTGACAAAAAAAAGATTTAAATTATATACAAGACTGCTCGTATCAGGGTTAAGCCCTGAATGTTCCGACTGCCTTTTGAGGTTTATGGAGCAGTAATAACAAAAAAAGATTAAACGTAATAAAATGAAATGAAGTTTTTTTTCTAAATTTTGAAATTTATTATGAAAAACATCCCCCCACACGCCATATAAAGTACAAAAGGATAGATTTCACTCCTTGTAACAAATCAATTATGGCAGTTACGCTTCTTTCAACCAATTTGGAACAATTTCTAGGACGGATTAAATATCCGCTTACGCGTTAATAGCGCGAAATATATCGCGCGTTAATTGTCCCAAATTGGTCAAAATGGCAATCTTTAAACCCCCATAACTTTACGAAAAATAGTCAGAGGTGAAATATCTTTTCAAATTTAAGCTCAGGACAACAATAGTTTTCGAATGATATAATTTTTTTTGTCAAAAATGGCTTGTTAAAAAGTCGAAATTTGTCTGAAGAAAAAAAACCCACACCGAGCACAAATATTCAGGACAACAATAGCTTTCGAATGATATAATTTTTTTTGTTAAAAATGGCTTGTTAAAAAGTCGAAATTTGTCTGAAGAAAAAAAACCCACCCCGAGAACAAAAACTCGATTAGGTTTTGACACGCAGACAAATGCTTGTCGCGCAGTTACGTTACTCCAAAAGGTCAACTTTTGTTTCTTCTAACATTTCCATTCTTCTTTTTATCCATTTCCGGATGACCAAAAAAAATAGTCATACAGTTTTTGTATACAGACAAAATTAATGGTACAATTGCCATGCAGTTTTATAAACACAAACTGTTGCATGAAAAGTCTCTGACTGGAATATTATTTTATCTCGATTGAAATTCTTCAAATAACAAAAAAGTAAAATTAATTGTTTTGTCGTCATTTTTCGATTGTGTACGTAAGCAAACACAGGTGACAAATTTTTTGGTTCTTCAAAAATCTTGAGTCGTTGAGGCATTGTAAATCCCCTGCATAATTTGCTTCAAGGCCGGTCATAACCTTCTTAAATTGTAAAAACAAAATAATGAAAAAAATCAACGTTTTGCTATTTTTCAAAATTAAATTTTTGGATCATTTTTCATTGCTTAAATCAAATTCAATTATCTACAACAAAAAATTGTTTGCTCCTCAAAATTGGTCGGAAAAAACCCCAAAAAAAATACAAATTTCGGGTACTCAGGACTTCCTTATGCACATCAAAAGAAATTGTAACAAAAAGAAAAAATTGATCAACTATTTTGAAATCCGCAATGTTTCATATTTTTAAACAACATAACTTCAAGGAACTGATTTGACTTGGAAAAAAACACCCTTCACGCTGTTTGAAAAAAAGTTAGAGGAAAATTTGATATACGGAAAAGTGATTTACCCCTCCTGAAATTTGACTTTCTCCGAGCTGACAAAAAGCTTATCATAATTATTGCAAACAAGTCTATGTATGAAACAAAATGTACGAAAACAGCATTTAAGCGTTTTTTAATTTCTATGAAACTGTATGACAAACATTTTGTCCATGTTTTTTAGCTTAACTTTAATAAACTGTGTTTTGTCCTTAAGCACGACAATCAAATGTTTTCTCAAGTGAGAAAACCAACTAGTAAAACATCATCAAAATTGCAAATAATTGCAAATAATTTCCCTCTGTATTTGAGAAAAAAGGTAACTAGGAGGTCTCTAAGGCCTTCGGCTATGAGGGTTTTTTTTCGACAATTTCATTGGTGAAAAATTGTGGTCTTGTTTGACGAAGTTAGTTGCATGTTATCATCTACAATAGAAAAAAAAGTTCTAACAACACTTCTTACAATACCTTCTGAACCTTCCTTGTGATTCTTGATTATTCTGTGTAAAAATTCTACGCCTGGACTACGTTATATGCAAACATTTGGAAATTTTTGCAAGCAAATTGAAGTTTTGGAATAAGTTTGGTTGAAATGAGATTTGAAAGATTTTCCTCAATTTTGAAATTTTTGCAGAGGGATAATTGCCGCCATAAGTTTCTTCAGATTAAAATTTTGTTTGCATGGGAAAATTGCTCGCAGTAATTTCCGCAAAAAAAACACAGTTACTTCAGCCCAAATTCAGTTCATTTTGTTTATGTATATCAAGCGATTAATAGGGACAAAAGTAAGTAAGACATGCCCTATGTTTGATGACATTATCAAAGCGAAATAGGAGTAATAGTTTCTGGGAGGAAACAACTGGGTTTTCGGGGCGGAAGAGTCTGGAGCGGAAATGACTGGAGCGAAAATTACCAGTCTTGTGAAAAATAGTTTGTCTTAAATTTTCATAATTGGAAATTGTATTATTGGGTTTTTTTGAAGACTCCACAATGGAATTCTGTAAAAAGCATTTTTTTAAATGTAGATTAACCCGGTACGTCAGTGGAATCTTGAGCCGTCAAATTTATCCTAGACGAAACTTTAACTTATGAAAACAAACATAGAGCTAAGAAATTGCAGAAAAAAAAATTTCAGTTAAATTCTTCCAAACGTTAGTCAAATCATCCTAAGCCAAGATTTATCATAGGTGCTTTACAGCTTACTAAAAACATGTTTTTCTTTAACCTGGTAATTAAAAATTTCATTTCCTTTATTGAAGGCAGTAAAGAAGATTAGGTAATACAATTCGGTATATGAAACACGCATATAGCCAATGTTCGAATTGCTTGCTTCTCGGGTCTAGGTGCTCACCTTTTGTTCGACTTTCAAAGTCGGGCTCATGAAACTTGTCCACCTAAAAAGAATAGACGAGACAGGTGTGGGGGTCGAGTACGGTGGAAAAATACAAATTATACGGCGGTAATTCGAAAATAAAATGAAAAGTTTCTTCCAAATATGAGTATAATGTTTTAACATTTTCGAGTTCATATACAAACCAGTGTTCCAAAAGATGTTAACGAAAAGCATAGATTATGTGTAATAATGGATAATTCATGTTGCTTGAGTCTAGTATGGTCGAGCACCACGTACTGAAAAGAAATGGCGGATTGCAAGCGATTTTATACAGATAATGTAGCAAAGACCTAAAACAATTGATTTAAATTAATTCAAAATCTATTTAGTTTGATACAAAATGAAGTTCAAAAGATCAATTTCAATCGCTTCTAAATCGATTTAAATCAATTTTTGTCAACTTATCATTTTCATCCAATTTTTAGTAACGGACAATTTGATTTAATGAGTTATGACCAATGTGGTTAACTCATAGAGTAATTTCGGATAGGGTACACCGTCTGCTCGTCACGCTATCTTATTTTCGGCCGGATAGATTCGTGCAACTTCTTAGTCTAATACCGATCCTAATCTTACTCTTATACTATCTAGTCTCAGGTTGTTTAACTAGTCTCTGCTAGGCTCAATAGATCTAGGGTATACTGGTTTATTGCGGCTGCTGAAGTTCTCGGGAGAGTCCAACTAATTTCTAAGTTAAATTCAAATCTCTCTGGTGCTGAAATTACAAGTAATTTCAGCACTTGCAAATAAGTGGATTGTTAGTCAGATGGATCATGATTGGTTAATATTAAATACTTTACATTGGTAAAATATCTAATTTATCCAATCATAAAATGTAGTTTAGATCAGGTTCCATTAATACAATTTAAATCGATTTATGTCTACATTTTTTTGGCAAAAAAACTTGATTTTTTTCTACCGTAAAAACCATTTAATCGTTTCTAAATCGATTCACGTATCAAAATGGGCTATCGTAAAACAATTTCTCACAATTTCATCTGCACAAAAGTGGATTTAAATCGTTTTCAATCTCAAATTTGTCAGTGTGGGAACGGTCGAAACATATCGATTTTGGTCAAGACGGTCGATACACTACGTAAAAACAAAAACAAAAAGACTTACTCAAGTCTACTTTTTTTCTCCTCAGTTTGAATAGAGTTTGGATTTTTGAAAAGTTTTATCCATTCATGTACTCAGAAACTTTTATTTCTGTTATATGTTTCTAATATGAATTATTAATGACATAATTAGGAGAATCCTAAAATTGATTTAATAGGCGGTCAAGGAGACGAAGACGGAGAGTGGGAGGATCTGGAGGATGAAGACCAAGACAGGAGGGGGGACCCGCCTGTGATGTTGCAGGGACTGCAGAGTACTTACAGGACCACAAATGACGACCACAGGGGGTTATGGATGGACACGGAGGACCCCATGCAGCAGGATTTCGCACAGGGAGATGGTGGGTGAATTTCACATGGGGGATGTGTGTTAACTGGGCTCCTTTTATTTTCCCCGCCACCTGCAAAAATTGGATTTCTTGATTGAGTGGTTCTTCAATTCACTTTTTTCACTAAACTTGTCTTCATCCTTAATCTTGTAAAAGCCCTCGGTATTCCATTAAATTTAAGCTTATGTGAGGTGGGGGAGACAAAAAAGACGTCAACGCTTTTGTAGGTCCCCTTCAGCAACTGATCAACTGGGACCAACTTATTTTCAACGGGTACAAGACACCACTCGATTGGTTGTTAACTGGCCTGCTTTTTGATGTTCTTTCAAGAAGGAATTTTTTATTGTTGAATCGTGTAATTAATAATCTGGTCTGCTCCCTTCGTGGAAACGAATTTATTATAGTCCTGTATAGTGAATTTTGAAGGAATGAAAAAAAATCACGAATTGGTAAAAGGTGAGCCTCAGCTTCAAATTAAGACTTAAAAGAATAAGCTTTACGGTTTATATACGAGTGCTCATAAATTAAATGATATAGCAAAAAAATATATATTATAGCTAAAACTCGTATAGCTAAAAATGTATAGCTAAAATTTACTAAGTTAAGCCTCAATGAGCGCCCTTAGCAAGAAAGTGCTTGGAAACTTTCAGCAGTTTTTTTTTTACTTATTACGCCAGTTGATGTAATAAATTTTTGATTGAATTCATGATTCGCTATGGATTTGAAAAAGTTGAATTTAAACATAACCAAAAAAAAATGGATATAGTTCTCAAAAATAGGGACATAACAGCGGTTCGCCGTGATGAGCTGTGCAGCTCTTGTGTTGGTCCTTTCCCCCGTGGATAAATAGTCCTAATTTAATCTAAATTCAAGAATTGAAAAAATTGCAGCTATCAAATGACTTGAATGATTAGAAATAAACTTTTGAGATGCTTTTCTAGGCACCCAACAGCCAAGTCATCGACAAACTAGAGACACAAGACCACGTGACTACAAGAGAGCCGGACTGCGATCACTCTCGTCCAACGGAGCCAGAACACAACCTCTGCATCCCCTAACTTACACCCAAACTCCCGTATATGAACGAGGTATTGTTTTTAAATTCAATTCATTTCGATTAGTAACGGCCCTAACCTGGTTAAGGTATTCGACGTATACTTCGACCGAATTCCGGCTCATAGATAAACGGCAGTTTTGGTCAAACACTGTTTCGAAACATAGTCGAACTATTTTCGAATCATAACTGAACCCAAAGTCGAGCACAATGTATGGTCGAAACATAGTCGAATAGTCCTAAAAATTTTTCTACAACTTTGAATACAAATTGAGGTCAAACATAGCAAAACACAAAGCGAAAAATAGTCGAACTCATGGTTGAGCAAAAAAATCTAAACATAAATGAAAGCAAAATACGAAATAGGCCGAGCTAAGAACAAGTTTTCAATTTGGATTTAATCAAATCATTTGCTTGCAAATGTGATAAACTGTGCAAATAGCATGAAAACTCCGTATTTTTAAGTTT